GCCCAGGCGGGTCTCGAACCCGCGAACTCAGGCAATTCACTCACCTCAGCCTCCCAAAGGCGCGGGATTACAGGCTGAGCCACCGAGCCCGGCCAAAAAATTTTTTTAAAGTGACACTTAGTAACAATAGTGAGCATCCATTAAATATTTACATTAAGCATTTCTGCATGCATAATCTCATTTAATCCTTACAACAACCCTGAGATAATTATCATCTTACAGTTAAAGAAACTCAGCACTCAGTTAATAAGTGGTATATACTTGTGTGCTTAACAACTATCTATACTCCCTCTCTTTGCTGTTTTTTTAGAAGGCAGGATTTAAGTCGGGCTCGGTGGATCAGCCTGTAATACCAGCACTTTGGGAGGCTGAGGTGAGAGGACTGCCTGAGCCCGCGGGTTCGAGACCCGCCTGGGCAACTTGGCAAGACCTCATCTCTACAATAAATCAAAAAATTAGCTGGGCATGGCAGCGCGCGCCTGTAATTCCAGCTACTTGGAAGCCTGAAGCGGAAGGATCGCCGGAGCCCAGCAGGTCGAGGCTGCGGTAGCCGGGAGCGGCCACTGCACTCCAGTCTGGGTGACAGAGTGAGACTCCAACCCAAAAAAAAAGAAAGCAGGATTTATTGAGAGGACAGAAAACTCCCACAGTGGGAGGGAACCCAAGGGGGTTGCCCTATATTGCCTCTCTTTGAAAGTAGAATTATAATTTAAGCTAGGTGCAGTGGCTCACGCCTGTAATCCCAGTACTTTGGGAGGCTGAGGTGAGAGGACTGCCTGAGTCCAAGAGTTCGAGACCAGCCTGGGCAACTTGGTGAGAACTCATCTCTACAATAAATCAAAAGATAAGCCAGGCATGGTAGTGCGTGCCTATAGTTCCAACTACTTGGATGGATCGCGTGAGCCCAGCAGGTAGAGACTGTGGCAGCAGTGAGTGTGCTACTGCACTCCAGCCTGGGCAACAGAGTGAAACTCCAACTGAAAAAAAAAGAATTAAATAAATAAATAAATTAGCCAGGCATGGTGGCGCATGTCTGTAGTTCCAGCTACTTGGAAGGCTGAGGTAGAAAGATTACCTGAGCCCAACAGGTCGAGGCTGTGGTAGCCATTAGCATGTCACTGCACTCCAGCCTGGGTGACAGAGTGAGACTCTGAATTTAAAAAATGTTTTAAAAAGTAGAATTTAGTGTTTATTTGCAAAGGCATGTTTTAACAGCAATTTCAAAGGTTCTTTGATTTCAAGAATACAAATACTCAGATATGAACTAATGTTAACAGTTGTGAAACTCTGGACTTCTTCAAGGTTGTTTCCTTATTCATAAAACTGGGATGATCTTATCTCACAGGATTATTGTGAGGAATAATTGGATAATAAATATAAACTACTTAGCACAAGGACTGGCAGGGCACACAATAAATGTTATATACTATTTTTATTATTCTACAGTGGGTGTTTGGTCACAGAATTATTTTCTATTGTAGACTGACCAAATTCATTCTCTGAATTTTCAAAGCCTGGAAAAAAAAGCAATAACAACAAAAATACTATGTATCATTTGTTGAGTCTCAAAGAGCATATACCTTCCTTTCTTTTTCATTATTATACAGAAAACAGGAGCCTAATATTACCCCTGACAATTGCCTTTCACCTTTTTTTGTTGTTGCTGGGGTCTCACTCTGTTGCTCAGGCTACATTGCAGTGGCCTGACCATGGCTCACCGCTGCCTTGACCTCCTGGGCTCAGGTGATCCTCCTGCCTCAGTTTCTTGCACAGCTGGGACTACAGGAACACACCACCACACCCAGTTAATTTTTTTTTATTTTTTGTAGATATGAGGTCTTGCTGTGTTCTTCAAGCTAGTCCTGAATTTCTGGGCTCAAGCAATTCTACTGCCTCGGCCTTCCAAAGTGCTGGGATTATAGACAAGAGCCACCACACCCAGCCTGCCTTTCTCCTTAAAGCACAATATGCAAGCAAACATCCACGGACTGTGGCCAGTGTCAAAAATAGAAGTCTGTCCTGGGCAGCCCTAAAACAACACATCAGCAAAATTCACAAAAAGTCAGAGGTTGGTGAGAAGCCAAAAGAATTGACCTGAATAACTTTGGAAAGCAGTGTCTCAACTGGAAAGTGTAAGACTAAAGACAAAAGAAACTATACATGAACACTCTAGTTGATACATTGTTTCTCACAGAGTTACAGGTTAAAAATTCAGAACTGGCCAGGTGCAGTGTCTCATGCCTACCATTCCAGTACTTTGGGAGACCAAGGTGAGAGAACTGCTTGAGTCCAGGCGTTCAAGACCAGCCCAAACAACATAGCAAGACCTTGTTTCTATTAAAAAAAAAAAAAAAGCCAGGAATGGTGGCACATGTCTGTAGTCCCAGTTACTCAGGAAGCTGAGGCAGGAGGATTGCCTCAGCCCAGGAGGTTGAGACTGCTGTGAGCCATGATCATACCACTGCACTCCAACATGAGTAACAGAGTGAAGCCCTGACTCAAACAAACAAAAAATGCTTTACATATATACTGTGATTGGATTTAGTAAGTAAATGAATAGTGGACATGAGTTTCTCAATGTTAGAAAGGGTAGTTACAGATAAGCAAGAGGAGAAAGGCTGGAATAAACCACATGGATTAAAGTCAGAGACGATGGTATGAACTCACATTTAGCATAATGTTGTTATAGATGGATACAGAAATAATTATAGACATATATATGTATATGGGTTAGCATACATGTATGTATTTCTTAGCTGTGTCCACTGATCCACAGAGAGGGCTTAGAAGTAATGACAACCCAGTAGCAACAAGCATATCTAGCACCCAGACCTTGGTGTCTAATAGCATTCTCAAAACAAAATAAAAAACAAACCAGAATCAGTGCTCCTTTAAGAAATGTGCCCCGGGCTCGGTGGCTCAGCCTGTAATCCCGCGCTTTGGGAGGCTGAGGTGAGTGAATTGCCTGAGCCCGCAGGTTCGAGACCTGCCCAGGCAACTTGGTGAGACCTCATCACCACAATAAATCAAAAAATTAGCCAGGCGTGGTAGCGCGCGCCTATAGTTCCAGCTACTTGGAAGGCTGAGGCGGAAGGATCGCCGGAGCCCAGCAGGTCGAGGCTGCAGTAGTCAGGAGCGGCCACTGCACTCCAGTCTGGGTGACAGAGTGAGACTCCAACTCAAAAAAAAAAAAGAATAAGAAACGGCCAATTCTAGGGCTGGGACAGGAAAAATATAAGATAAGCTTGGAGCATCTTGCAGTTCCAAAAATACTAAAAAATAAAAGAACAGGACTGGGCACAATGGTTCATGCCTGTGAACCTAGCATTTTGGGAGACGGAGGTGAGAGGCTTGCCTGAGCCCATGAGTTTGAGACCAGCCTAGGTGACATGGCAAGACCTTGCCTCTACAATAAATCAAAAAATTAGCTGAGTGTGGTGGTCCTTGCCTGTGGTTCCAGCTACTTGGAAGACTAAGGAGGAAGGATTGCCTGAGTACAGCAGGTCAAGGCTGTAGTGGCCATGAGCATGCCACTGCACTCCAGCCCAGGCTACAGAGTGTGACTGGAACTCAAAACACAAAATAAAATAAAAAAGTAAAAGCACAGAGGGATGTCACAGGGGCAGGAACCAAACTGAAAGAGTTCTCAAAGGCCAAAGCTGGACAATTTGAGGAACAAAATAGTAACAGAGTACCACATTATAACCCAAAGTAATAGAGCATACTAAATGACTGAATACATAAAGTGGGAGACGAAACAAATCTTTCTTACTGAAGGATTCCAAATAATTCATGTAGATACTACCCCTTCAGGTGATAAAGCTTAATCCCTCCCCAACACCACCATGAATGTGAGCTGCACTTAATGACTTGTGGGGGAAAAAAACCCTGGCAAATGCTACCTTGACCAGATGATCAAGGTTAACATTATTAGTGATGCAGTGATAGCTTGTACCCCTAAATATGTGATGAGAAGAGTACTTCAACTTTGATATTCTTCCTAAAAACACAGAATCCCAGTCTAACAAGGAGAACAAACATCAGAAAATCCCAAATTGAAGGCCATTCTACAAAATACCTGACCAGTATCTCTTAAATCCTCATGAAAAATAAGGAAAGAAGGAGAAACTATCACAGACCAGAGGAAACATGACAACTACATGTAATGCAGTATTATGGATGAGATATTGGAAGAGAAAAAGGGTATTAGTGGAAAAACTAATTAAATCCAAATAAAGTCTGGAATTTAGTTAATAGTGATAAATCAATGTTAGTATCTTAGTCATGACAAATATAATATAATAATATAAGACATTAACAATAGGAGAAGCTGGGCAAGGGGTGTATGGGAACTTTCTGTACTATCTTTGCAATTTTTCTGTAAATTTACAATTATTCCAAAGTAAAAGTTTACACACACACCAAAAAGTGGCTGGGCTTGGTGGTTCAGCCTATAATCCCAGCATCTTGGGAGGCTGAGGCAAGTGGATTGCCTGCACTGGCGGGTTTGAGACCAGTCCGAATAACTTGGCGAGACCTCATCTCTACAATAAATCAAAAACTAGCCGGGCGTGGTAGCGCGCACCTGCTACTTGGATGGCTGAGGCGGAAGGATCGCCAGAGCCCAGCAGGTTGACACTGGGGTGGCTGTGAGTATACCACTGCACTCCAGCCTGGGAGACAGGGTGGGACTCCAACTCAAAAAAAAAAAGTCACAGGCTGAGCCTACACCCACGCTAAGGAACCCCTGGTCATTACAGAGATTGTGATCTAAGTGAGAGGAGATACAAATCTCCCTGGGTATTTTTCAAATGCCTAAACTCTCAGGATTCCTCAGACATAACAATGCTCCTCTCTGGCCAAAGCAATGCCCAGAAACAAATTAACTCCTCCTTAGGAGCCACTTCCCCTTTGTGCTTCCACTTTACACTTGTGCCCAGTAGGATGCATCTCCACGCACAAATGAGATGCCCATGTATAACATATCCGGCGTTTTCATTTTCAGAACCAAAGCTGTCTGCTACAGTTAATTCTACCATGACATTTACCCCACTTCACTAGAAGCTATGGCTCCCAGACCTTACCTACCCTGGGAATCCTGGATATCATCGCACAGTACCCACTTTGGCTGCTTTCCCCATCCTGAGGTGCCTCAGAGCTCAGAGTTCCATACAGCAGTGCACTTTGGTTATTCTTGCCCATTTTCAAGAATACTTCACTTCTGCCTCCAATTGTCTTATCAGAAGTCACTATCCACTTATCCAAATCTTCTTTCCCACGGAACTGCCAGACAACTTTGGCTTGTTCCAGCAAGACCTCATGCAGAGGGCGGCCTTCCGGCCCTATCCAATGATTCACAATCTCATCCTTCAAACGCCTAAAATGGTCCTTTATTTCTTCTCTTATTGCTTTATCAAAACTAACTTCTGGCTGATCTGCAGAAGAAGTTATATCCAAAGCAACGTCCTTCTGGTGATGTCCTTGCAAACCCCCTTCATTCTTCTTTTGTGAGGAGGCTTTGCCAGGAGAAGCCACTGGTTTCTGAAGACTACTGGAGCAATAGTCAGCAAAGCGAAAACCCAAAAATGGATGCAAGGCAGCACTTGACTTCGAGCATCTTCTAAGAATATAAGTGCCATTTAGCAATTTATGAACCAAAGCCATGGTAAGAAAAAGTCAAATGTAAATTTCTCCCTGGCTGCCACAAGAAGATGCTTCAGCAAACAGCCCAATTCCACCTATAACAGAAAAGTTGTTGAAGAGTTACCAGTACAGCAATGTAAGAGTCACAATTTCAAATTCAACAGAAATCAGGTATTGTGAAAACCGTTAACTTATTTTCTAATTCCTTTTTTTTTTTTTTTTTTTTGAGTTGGAGTCTCACTCTTGTTGCCCAGGCTGGAGTGCAGTGGCATTCTCACGGTCACTGCAGCCTCAAACTGCTGGGTTTAGGCAATTCTTCCGTCTCAGCCTTCCAAGTAGCCGGAACTTCAGACACACGCCACCACACCTGCTATCTTTTTTTGTGATTTATTGTAGAGATGAGGTCTCACCAAGTTGCCCAGGCTGGACTAAAACCCCCGGGCTCAGGGAATCCTCTCGCTTCAGCTTCCCAAAGTGCTGGGATTACAGGCTGAGCCACCGCGCCTGGTCACTGCTTTTCTAATTCTATACACATTTAACCTACTGTCTACTATGAGCAGAGCACTATATTATGCATTGCAAAAAAATACTAAAATGGGCTGGGCGCAGTGGATCAAGCCTATAATCCTAGCACTTTGGGAGGCTGAAGTGAGAGAATTGTCTAAACTCAGGGGTTTGAGACCAGCCTGGGCAACTTGGGTGAGACCTTGTCTCTACAATAAATCAAAATATAAGCCGGGCATGGTAGCATGTGACTGCAGTTCCAGCTACTTGGAAGGCTGAGGGGAGGGATCACCTGAAGCCAGCGAGTCAAAGCTGTTGTAGCTGTAAGTGTGCCACTGCACTCCACCCTAGGTGACAGAGTGACAGACTCCAACTCAAAAAATAAAAAAGATCAGGCGCAGTGGCTCAAACCTGTAATCCCAATACTTTGAGAAACCGAGATGAGAGGATTGCCTGAGCCCACGGGTTCAAGACCAGCCTGGGCAACTTGGTGAGACGTCATCTCTACAATAAAAAAATAAATAGCTGGGCTTGGTGGCTCAGCCTGTAATCCCGCGCCTTTGGGAGGCTGAGGTGAGTAGATTGCCTGAGCCCGCGGGTTCGAGACCCGCCTGGGCAGCAAGACCTCATCTCTACAATAAATCAAAAAATCAGCCAGGCGTGGTAGCGCATGCCTGT